ATGTCAAGAGTGATGGATGCACCACTTTCAGCATAAACTCCTAGGTGGACTGACTGACTGGGTGCACTGGTTCCCAGAGGATGCGGAATGCTCTTGAGTTAGAAAAGCGGGCTTTGTGTTTGCAGCTCTAGCATCACCTTATTTGGTTACAGTAACTCTATTGCATAAGCAAGCAGCAGAGGTTGAGATACCGCTCCTTTGTAGGAGTATATTGAACTCAGAAGTCAAATTCAGCTTCGCATCTCGGTGGCAGGTGTACTTGGCACTCAGAACCTTTGACCTTGCTGTACCAGGGTAATTACGGTGGTGTTACCCTGTGGGTCACATTCTGACCTGATGCTGTCTAGAGATGATATATGCAGGACCTCATCTAAAACGTTATGGGCTGCTTATGAAGCTCGTACCCACAGTCCTGATTCCCTTATCAGACGGGCTGGTGTACATTTTCCATCTCACTCCATTTTCCCTTGATCATTGACAATGTGATCAGGAAACTAAAGACTGAAGGGGGTCCTGGTAAATCATGGACACAGCACTTCTAGTAACAAGGGCTCTGGTTATCAGTGGGAAACCTGCAAGCTCTGCTTTTCTTCTGGAATTACCTACAAAGAACTCCGGGGCGTTGTGCCCATACAGCCTTAGCCTGAAATGTGAGTGGATGTTGTTACACCTACTGCTTTGTCATCAACAGCAGAGGAACAGAGATGGCAGAACAGACTAGACTGTTGGCTTGGCACTTCTGTGATCTGTACTCTTCAAATCTTAGCTCCATAAAGTTTTCCAAATAACTAAAGAATCTGGGCTCTGTTAGTTGGCTTAAGATCTATGCTTTTCTCAATCAGTATTTCATGTCATTCTCAAGTTCCTTAAAAAGGGTAACTTTTTTCCTCCAAGGACATTGTTACTATGGCACTTGAAACTCTCATAAGCCCGTTTGAGTAGCTGTTGATTTACCCTGAATCTCTATGAAGAGGACCTCACTGAAATCTCTCTCCAATTGTAGAAATTGCTGAACAGGCAACCAGCTGTGGCTCTGTTCAGACCCAAGTTGAACTCTCTTGTCGCAGCAGCTATGGGTGCTTTTGCATTGAAGTATAGGTGGGAGTGTGATTGCCCTCGAGTGATTTAGCCCCACCTCCTGTTAATTCTGATGGCGTAGAGGTTGGTTCAAAATCAGTCAGAGGGAGAAAAGAAGGTTCCTCACTCATAATTGCAGTTCTATGGGATGAAATGTCCCTCAGTACATTCAGTTCCAGGGCAATTCTTGAGGATGCTGCTGGACTTCTTCAGCAGGCACTAACTATAGGTCAGGGAGTGCATTAAGCAACATGAGAAACTGGCTGTTATTGTGCCCTCTGCACGAGGGCTAACAAAACAAAATTGAGCATTGGGTATTAAGGAAATACAGATTTTCAGTGTAGATGCAAATGCGGCCTTTTTGCTTCCAAAAAAGATGTAAGCGGATCTGCGGAGAGTGACGTGCTCTGGACAAGCGTCAGTCAGCACTAAGGTGGTTCTGTCCTGAACTCTTCAATAATGTCATGTTGCTCAGGCTGCTCATTTGCAGTGTTTTTAGACATCCTACTTATCTTGAGAATTACAACTTCCCCATAGGCAGCGTACTTTAATAGTGCTAGACTTGTGTAATCTGGGTAAGAATCTCATCTCGGGTTCCGAAAGTGTGTGTTGGGGGGAGATGGCATTTCAAACCTCTGTTAAATTCACTTGTATCTACCATGGCACAAGGACTTTTGGGAGACGTCTCAGTCAGTGGCAAGGTTCTCTAAATCTGATCACATTCAATAGTTAAAATAGTACTGCTCAGAGATAATTGAATGGGAAACCCTTCAGACAATGATTTATTGAGTCAGTTTTTAAATCTAATACTTTTTTTTCCCTCTTGTTCCTTGAAATGTCTAGATACTGGCTGCTCTGCAGAAAGATAACCGGGAAATGGAAAAAGGAAGTCCTTCACTCAAACGTTAAAATTACGGTTCCCTCCAGTGACTTACAGAAAAACAGCTAAAGTGGCAAAAGTATTGAGTACTGTTTGACATGTATGAGCCTGCAAATCAAAGTGTTATTGCAGAGTTTTGTTTAGTAGTAGATTAGCCTTAAAGGGGAGAGAGGTAAAAAAGAGAAGGGGGGGGGAGGGAAGGAAGGAAATCGGGGGATAAAACCCCTTATAAATTAAACCTAGGCTTAGCCTTAAACTTCTGGTGGAATGAGCGTTTGCTGTGGACAGCATTACACAGTCTGTTCTTCAGATGAGGGCGGTGAAACTAAACAATATTAAGGGGTTTTTTTTATTATTTTATTTCTTTGATTTTTTAAAAGACTGGGCATTCAGCAATGTCGGTTGCTTTGAAAGCTGTTCCCCAGTTTCATTCTTAGGCAGGATGTGTTTCCCATACCAGTAGCTGGATCTGGATTTTAAATAACTGGTGCTGGAATTTGTAGTTAAATGATGTAAGGACCATTTCTTTAGAAATGCTTCTTGTTTTATAGGCTGTGGGTCCCATTTACCAAAGAAATCATGTAGACATAGAACTACATTCCATTCTTTAATAAGAAAAAGTTAAGTAGAAAGCAAACTTGGAAGAGAAGTCACACTAGCAGTGCAAAACCAATTATTCTTCAAGATGCCTTGGAAATCTGTGTTTCCGATCTGAATGCATGTGGAAGAAGTTGTATTAATCAGACTAGATTCCAAACTCACCGAGGGGTTTCTAGTATTAAGCTGGCATCATTTCCCAGTTGCACTCTCTTTCCTCTGTTTAAAGCCAAGGTCACATACTACTGAACATGCTTCCACGTCTCCCTCTTCTGGGGCAGTGCCGTTTTGGGGTGTTCTTGCCTACCAGCTGCTTACTCTGTGCTGTCTCTCCAGTCATGCTGATAAAACTGTGGGCTGAGCAGTTAAACTCAGAAATGGTTAAAAGCAGTTTTTATAGTTACTTTAAACGCAGCTTTGCTCACTGGTGAAACTGAGGAGGGAGGGTGTAGGGGAGAAGTTATGTAGGCCAGCTGAAAAGCAAAGGTTCTGTGGGATCTCCTGAAGCTGCTGCTGCCGCTGCAGGGAAGCGTTATGTGAAGCTGATCTGTAGGTCGTGACAAAGTGAAAGAAGTTTATTGGGGAATGTGCCAGACAAATACCATCAGGATGAGGACAAGTTGTCATTCCTAGCGTTTTATCCAGCCTCTGGTACATGGGAGCAAGTTACAGAGGCCGCAGACTGCGGTTCTATGACTCTGTTACGCAGCGTAGATCCCCTCTGCATTCAGATGAATGTTGAACTGTAAATCATGGGTGCCTCTGATTTACAAGAATGTTTATTGCATACTGTATATTGTAAAATCTATTTTATAAATAACGACGATCATTGAAAAGGGAAACTAACTGAAGCAATACTTGTGTTAACTGTAAACAGGCGTTACTAACTCCTCTAGCTGTGTGGTCAGCAGTTTCCCAATGCTCTTCAGTCTGTTTTACGCTGATTATTTTGGCATTGTCTGAATAAAAAAAATGAGAATAATAGTTGCACACTGCTCAACTCTATATACAGTGTAAAGGACTGTGGGACATAATCAAAATACTGTCCTTTAGTACGAACGTAGTTTCTGCAAGGGATAGTTTGATTGTAATGCTAAAAAGAGTGAGAGCAGGATTCCCTGATAAGTGAGGACTCATAATCACTTTGCAAGATGTGTAAGGCAAATGCAGCTTGCAAGCCTGATACCTCATCGGCCTCTTTTCCTGTCCGCTTTGTGTCCCTGGCGTACTGGATGTGCTGTTCCGTTGGCCATCTTAATTCCTCCGTAAGACTTCTTCTAGGTCATCGCTTACTGAAAATAGACATTGAGATGTTGGTAAGAAACACATGGTAATTCTCCCAGAATTTGTGTAGCTTTGGTCCTTCAGAGACTGGTACTTGTATGCTCCATGGCTTTGAAGTGCAATAGGAAGCTGGAAGGTCAGTAAATGTTTTTTAATACTACTTTTCTATTACTACAACAAATATGCCTTTCCATGAAGGATATGAGAGGCCTACCATCTGGAACATTTGCACTAAGCTTTTAAACAGAGACAACTTTTTCCTCGGTATACATTTTTAGGTGGCACTGTAACTGGCTTTGTGATTTAAGTCTTCATTGCAACTAGGTTTGCATTTCCTTTCAAACCAAGTCTCCAAGTGTGGCTCATTTGGTTAAAATGCATTCTTTAGCTACTAGGTATCTCTGCAGCCATCGACAGCCTGTGCTCCTTTTTCTCTTCTCAGTAAGATGTTGAATGTAACAGTGAAAATGGGTATAGTTGTGGGAAAAAGGCCTGCTGCAACACTTGTGCACTGTTTGTTACTTGCAAATGTAATTATTTTGTTTTGTGATTTGATGTTTCTGTTCTTAGAAGATGTATATATTTTCTAAATCATTTCTTTCTGTATATAAGGTATGTTCTTTAATGAAGAAAAGCAATGCAATAAGGAGCTTTGCACAGTTCATTTTGAAACAAAATACATTTGAAACAAAAAAAATCACCTGCCTAAAGATGCAATTGTTTCAACTTCTCAGTAACTTGATTTGAAATTACTGCTTGAATTTTGATAAAAACAAAGATGAATAGTAAGGGCATAGAATTACTTGCCACTGAGCTTTTTAAGTTTCTTGCAGCATACCAAATCTCTTAATTAGCTGTTAAGGAAGATTTCTGTAATAAATTCAGGGATTGCATAAAAAATTTGACAATTTTATTGTTCAGGTGCTTGAGAGTATCTGTAACAAGATGCATGAGATTTTCTGCCACTGAGCAAGTGTCCCCATCAAGCAAACTTTCTTTTCCTCATGGGTTTAAGGAAAAATAAAAATGTTGCAATACAGCAGAAATCTGCAACTGCCACTGTAAATGCAGCAGATCAGCGAAATCATAAAACTTCAACCAGGTTTGGAATTCTGTACAACCTGCACTTTATAATAAAGCCAGTTTGCAACTTCAGTCAGCAATCAGTCATTAATGTTATTTCACTTCGTAAAAAAATTTCATTTGAAAAAAAAAGGTACCTTGTTACAGCTTATTTTTGAATGTTTTAAAAACTAGAATGATGTATAGAGAACTGTTGATACATCCCCTGTACATCATGTTTAAATTGGTTTTATGTAGTTATCAAGTTTGTTTTGTTTAGATACGTGTATCAAACTGGAACTTTTTTCAACTGTAAATATATGGTTTTGTTAAATAAAGTCATGTAAAGTTATCTTAGTCACCTATTGTCAGTGTAATTCAGAAATTAAAAATTCAAGTACCTGTCTGTGTCTTCACAGGCTTCTTTAGCAGTTTTTGTCTGTCCAAAATCAGGACTTCGGGACATTTAAGTATCACAGGTGGAGGATTTTTTGGTGATGCTTTCCGGGTTCTCATGTTAAAATACCTGTTATGTTACATGTGTCATAGAGAAGATTTGATACTTCCAGTGCCAATGTTTTAATCCATTTCATAGGCCTTTCTCTGGACTGGGTCTGAGATCTGATAAATGTATTATGAAAAATAGATCTAAATACATGTTTGTGAGATGCGCAGAACTCAGAAATGCTTGAATACCTTATCCTTTCTTTGTTTTAAAAGAAGAAATCTTGGTTTATTGCAAGTTTCATAATCACAAGGCATTTTTGTGCTCAACTTCAGGCAGCATTGTTTTAATTCTTACATAGGCGTAACTTCAGAGATTAAAGTGGAGCAGCTTCCTGTTGCATACTTAACTGAAAAGACATTAAAGTGCCAAATAAAAGCAGAGGCGAGAAGACAGTACATGTGCAACAAGACTACGTGGGGAACGTAGTCAAAGGCTTGGCTGCCACGATTCTAGTTTCTCCGGTAAACAAGTCTCTCACTTCCTTGGACAGAAGTGTCTTTAAGTTTGGTTTGCTGGATTAGAACATAAAATCAGAATTGCTTTCCATAAGCTTATACCAGTTTGATCCTGATAGAGCATTATATTCTGTATATTGCAGCAGTTGCACAAAACTGTTCAAAACTAGCTTTTGTTGACCTGTTTTCCCAGTACTAATTCTAATCTGTTTGAAGAGAAGTGAAGTGCTTCCCTGCATGCCAGCACATGAGATTAGGGAATAAAAAGACATTTGTCTTCACTACTTCCTGACAGAATGCCCTCCTCTATTTATAGGAGGAAAATGGAGGAATCTTTGATCTTCTCCCTCAGGGTGCTTTGGAAGGCTGGGGTAGCAGTGGGTTGTGTCAGCAGCTCAGTGCTAAGAAAAGTAAGTCTTGGACACAGTGTGTGAAGCGTAAGGAAATATCTTAGTAGTATTTGTTTCAGTAGAAATACTCATTTCAAGGAATATACTATCAATCTCATTTGCACCCTAAATTCTTACCTTCTCCAGATGTCAAACATGCAGCAATAAAAAGCATCTAAGATTTACTTTCCCTGCTTCCCCTCCCTTTATTTGGTTGCTTAATAGTGTTTAAGAAGTTAAAGGAAGGTTTATATGTCTTAAGCCAAAAGCAAGAAGAAGCGTCAGACTTCCTGGCAGGAATTTGTAAGAAGGGGAGATGATTGCTGATCATCCTTAATTTGTGAAAACAATTTTCTGGAACACCAGGAGGCGACTCGACTTGTGCGATAGCCGCTCTTTCAGCAACTTTTGGTAACAGGGCTTAAGATGAAAGGTACTGACTTTGGTAGGGTTTTTTGTTGTGTTGGGGTTTTTTTTGGTTTTTTTAAGATAGATGGTTGGCTGTTGCACTTGTCTCCTTTTACTATCCAGCAACAACAGCCAGAGCTAGATCTGGTATTTTGTGCATAGCTTTTGAATATTAGTTGTATAACATCTCTTCATGAATAGAGTGTTTGAGCTACTGAAGATTCAGAGTACTTCAGTTGTTTGCAGAACAAGAGCCTGCACAGTTCCACTGTGTTTATGCCATAGTTCCTCAGAACTGTAAGGACCTTTGAATAATATAACCGAATTGCTACGGCATGATTACAGTAAGAGTAAGAAATTATTGATCTCTCATTTCACTATGACAAAACCAATATTTAAGCCTTTAATAGCGTAATACCCACTTTATGTTGTCTTTTAAATATCCAGGCAATTCAGAAAACCTAGTTCAGAGATGATTTGAGAGAAAGGTGTGAGCAGTTCCTAGAAATGTTTTTATGTCAGTGTATCTACTGTTTATCCCCATGTAAGTGCAGTCAGTGACCTGTACTTTGTTTAAATGCATATGCAACTTATTTTGGAACTAGAACCAGCAGCTCAAATACACCTCAGCAATACTGGTCCCAGCGGGTGCTAATTCCCACCTGTGGTGGAAAACCAAAAGGCTCCACTCTTACTCTTTACAGCTGGGATGTGGCTTCTTTCCTGCAAAATTCACAGCTGTTGAACACTTAAATCTGGACCTTTGATACCCAACTCTGACTACTGAAAATGGAACTAGAGGTTGCAAAGTGGTGGTATCGCATGT